GGAAACAGGAAATACTGTTTTACCCTAACCAGGCCACTTGTTGTCAAAGTTAATTCATTTTTTGCAGTAATATGGAGTGATTGAGGAGATTCAAAATATCTCCTTCATCTGAAGTTTTAGTGTCGTTTTAAAACTTTGAGACTTCAATTAGGAATAATTGTGTCACAGAATATTTATTGGGGGGTTTAGGAGCTTTCATTGTAGCTAAGCTGAAGAAGGTTGAGTCGGTTTCATTAAGACCGCATCTTTTTATATTTTGTTTTCACATTTGAGATTCTTGAATTAAAGTTAAAAAATAATTTTGAATGGTGAAAACAATAATGATTGTAATACCATCATCTGTAGTGAACTTATACATGCTTTCATAAATATTGGTTGTCATTTTCCTTTTAAGGGATTGGCATTACCAAGAAGACAGCCATGTATGCTCGGAAAGTATTTTAGTCAGCTTCGTCCAAAGCAATTCAATTTTCAATGTGGCAAATACCATAAATCTGTGACACAGGGTGATAAACAAGATGGTTGGAATAGAGCCCATTTCTAAAACGTTGAAAGAAGAGTGGCCATGTGTATCTTATTGAGATGCCAAAAATAGCGAAAGATGGAAATGTTCGTGTTTATTGCTATGATTAAGTGATCTTATTACAAAAAAGGTTGAAAATAGTGGTATTGTTGGTGTGCATGATGACAAGCTAGGGTCATTTTAAGGTTTGACATTACTCTAAGAAATTCTTGAATAGATAGAAATTATATTCTTGTAGATTGTAATACCATTCATCCTGAGAAGTTTTGTGTGATAAGAAATGCTCTGAATATCTAGGTAAGCTTTAATTTGTTCAGTAAGCTTCCTATCCTTTTCTAGTATCAGCCCACGACACGTGACATTTCACATCAACAAGTTTAGACCCCTAGGGTAACACTTTACATCAACAAGTTTAGACCCCAAGGGGGAACACTTTACATAAATTCCCATCATTAGATTACCCTATTTCAGCACGGACTGGAGGAACAGCCTCTCTTCAGGTGGTCACCGGCAAGTTAGACCTCATTATGGTGTTCCCAATTTGTCACTTGTGTTTGATCTGCCGCAACTATCATTAACTTCAGGGAAGGAAAACATATTCTTAATTGCCATAGATGCCAATATTTGCTTATCACCCGCGGTCAGTTCTTTGAGGTGAGATTGGAATGCCGTATCCGTGACGATTCAGCTGTAGTAGAAATCTCCTTCATTGATTCTCACTTCTGTTGTGCTTGTCCCTGAAAAAGATAGATCTGGAATTGGTGCCACGGTTCTCATCTCTGTTGATGCCGTTATCTGAGAAGACAGTTTCGCAGTTAATGTACTTTGTAGGGCTTTACCGAAAGATCTTTTGGGCATCAGGTCCTGGGAGACGTGTTGCCCTGTGGTGCATGGAGTCTGGGGGTGGCCCTGTGGTGGAAGCTGCCTCTAGTCTGGCGTCATTGGTTGTGGGTTGAATCCCAGATTTACCCTGATTTTGATACTGGATGTGTATGTTTAATCTCAGTGGTCAAGGGTTTCACCTTGAAAATCCGGGGTAGAATGGGTCTTCAGCAACCCGGGCCATGCTTGTCGTAAAAGGTGACTATGCTTGTTGTAAGAGGCGACTAACGGGATAAGGTAGTCAGACTCACTGACTTGGTTGATGCATGTCATCGTATCCCAATTGCAAGGATTGATGCTCATGATCATTTACGGTCCGCCGTCATATAGCTGGAATATTGCTGAGCTGAGTGCGGTGTTAAACAACAAGCAAAACAAAACGATGATGTGCTACACATGGATGACCCACAGGCTTTTCAGCCTCATCCATCTTGACACACTGTGATATAACTGAAATACTGCTTGAAGTGGCATAAAACTCATTCGTTCACTGTTGAGTATTGGTTGTTCTGGTTCAGGTATAGTTGCTTAAGGTGCTGGTGTTGTCTACAGCGTCAAACATCACCCACTCACTCCCTTGTGTGCCAGGTAACATGGGGGACCAAGTCATCTAAAGCACCACAGTCCATTGTGCAGATTTGTGTCCCTTAGCTGTGCCAGAATCCTATTGTCCAAAGTTCAAATCCATAATCGTCCTGGTTATGTCTCTAATTTTGTCAGCACCATACCCGTGCTCATGGGTTTCACCGAAGTGATAAACGTGGGAGACATTCTCGCTCATCAAGTCAGCAGTGATATAACTGAACAACTTTAACCAATCTCACTCACTGACTTCATTGTGTGGCCTTGTTTGACAAGATTGATCTGAAATGGATGTCACAGGATGTTCAGTTTTAGAAATGATTTCAGAAATTGATGCAAGAAATAAACATATTATCTTGTTAGAATGTTCTGTCTCCTGACTCTGAATGACTGCTTTCAATGTGGCATATTTTTAAACTTGTGACTGCATAGAGGAGATGTGAAGATTCTGTGGAGCACTTTAGTGCCGTTGAAGATTTCAGCTGACATCCGACACACAAAGAACGTTAGTTGAAAAGTTTTCATTGGAGTAGTTTGAGTGTCCTTGGGAAAGTTGTGGAGTTTTAAAGCATGCATTTTTTCTACTCGCTCAAACCTTAAATAAGGACTTTTTAGCAAAATAATATCATACAACTACATTGGACAATGTGTGATGTGCAGAACAGTTCTGAATATGAAAACGTTAGCTTGGATCATATTTTTCTGTGTTTTGTCTGAAATATTGGCTGGGTGAGTGAGTGAGTGGGTGGGTGAGTGAGTGACTGGGTGGGTGGGTGAGTGAGTGAGTGAGTGGTGGGTGAGTGGGTGGGTGGTTGAGTCTGTATATTACAAAAATATGATTTCATGGGACACCAAAAAATGGACTTTTTGCATACTGAAAATCACATTCAATTGTTGACATACTTTACCCCAATGTAAAGCTGAAATACTGCAAAACATAATCAACTTAGATTTGTGTGATATGAGTAATTAAAGTGAAACTAGTCACACACATGTCAGATAACAAATTATTTTCAATCAGAAAATGGTTTCAAAGCCACTACAAATCCCCTGACTTCATAAACTCAGATATGACAGCCGTGTCTGGTTTTCTCATCATAACATTTAACATCTTACTTAAAAGCAGCCATCTGAAAATAGTTCTCAGGATAGTAGCTCCTCAGTGCATGAAGATAGGGGCTCAAATAGATGCGATCATGTAATGGGAGTGCGGGATATAAAAAACATCGAGAATGCAGCTGTGGAAGATGAAACGTGATGTCCAACTTATATACTCAGACTTACTTCCAGTTTGTTTTGGCATCAGGATGACATGATGCTAGCCTACTTGTGTAAGGAGGAAAACACAGTATGTAAATACTCCCTCCAGAAATAACCAGTATTCTGATTGCTGGGATCTCTGACGAAGGGGAGGCAAGGCTCGGATTCAGAAAAGAACACTTATGTCACACTTTGTTGTGAAAAGAAATGTTTTCAGTTGTAGTCGGGTGTTATCTTACTCTGGTCTAGCTGGTGGGGTGTGTTCAGACTAGATGAAACTGGAGTCGTACTTTACTGTGGACTAGTTGTGATCGGTTTCGAACAGAGCTAGTGTAAGATTGACGGGCAGGTTAATGGTGGTAGGACTTGCAGTGGCATATACAGGGTTCTTAGTAACTAGGGCCCTGTTCCACAAAACAATCTTAGTACTATGACTGACAAGGCTATGATAAAGTAGGGGAGTTGCGATCGTCTTAGCGCTAAGATCGCTTTGTGGAAAGGGACCAAGAGTACAATTCCACAAAACAGTGTTAGTACTACGACTGACAAGGCTATGTTAAGGTATGGGAGTTGCGATCATCTTAGCGCTAAGATTGCTTTGTTGAAAGGGACCCAGGGTACCATTCCACAAAACAATGTTAGTACTACGACTGACAAGGCTATGTTAAGGTATGGGAGTTTCGATCGTCTAAGCGCTAAGATCGCTTTGTGGAAAGGGACCCAGAGTACCATTCCACGAGGCATTCTTAGCACTACGACAGATAAGGCTATGTTAAGGTATGGGAGTTTTGATCGTCTTAGCGCTAAGATCGCTTTGTGGAAAGGGAGCCAGAGTACCATTTCACGAGGCATTCTTAGCACTACGACAGATAAGGCTATGTTAAGGTATGGGAGTTTTGATCGTCTTAGCGCTAAGATCGCTTTGTGGAAAGGGACCCAGGGTACCATTCCACAAAACAATCTTAGAACTACGACTGACAAGGCTATGTTAAGGTTTGGGAGTTGCGATCGTCTCAGTGCTAAGATCACTTTGTGGAAAGGGACCAATTTCACAACATGTTCTTAGTGCTGAGACAAACATAACTCACATACCAACATAGATCACATTTTAGAACATGACCCTGAGCCTGATTGCACTGAGGGATCGTAACTACGACTATCGTAACTCATGTGCTGGAAAAGGATTGCTTTGTGCAAGAGACCTAAGTTGAATGCATGTCAACATACCCTGATGGCGTGGGACTTTGCTGATAATATCAGTCACTGGTTTGTCTGGTCCAGGATCTATAACAGGCGTTTGTATTATAGATGGAATATTGCTGTACCCTAAAACAACCAACAAACAAATATATGACTAAATCAACATCTTGTTATGGATTAAGGTATTACATTCTTTTAATAAGTTGTACCCCTAGTAGTATCTTACCCAATAGTATGAACATCCAGATTGTTAATTTCATACGTATGCAATCACCAGGTTGTCTGGTCAAGACTTCATTATTTACAGGACACTGTCGTATAGCGTGGAATATCACTGTGCTCTGAAACAACAGACAAAACAAATGGGGGGTAATTTTATGCTTAGATAGATTTGGGAACATGGACTTTATATCTGCGTGGACTGAGATTTATGTTGATAGTGGATGTACTGTGGGGTATTTGGTGTGCAGGGATTCAGGAACCTCGTTGTCATGGTAATGACTCCAAATTTGATGTATATTCTTGTACCAATAATACTTTTTTGTTGTTTCAGGAAGAACAAAGAGCCCGATTAAAAGCAGAGAAAATTAGGATAGCCCTCGAAAAAATTAAAGAAGCCAAAATACGAAAGGTGAGTTTGAATATAATTGTTGACATGAATAGATGTTCATCAAGTGTTTATGTCAGGAAAGTGTGACCTGAGTGAGTGAGTGAGTGAGTGAGTGGGTGAGTGAGTGGGTGGGTGGGTACGTGCGTGCGTGAGTGAGTGAGTGAGTGAGTAGATCATATTATTTAAGATATTAAAGGACAATTATGAGTGTTGTGGAAAACCTGCTTAGGTTACCCCGTTTTGCCGACTGTTTATCTGTTACCTCTCTGCCAGTTGTCCCCACACTTTGTCTTTTGAAATGCAGGAACTGTCTAGCACTGTGATGAATGGTTGCATGGTAGTACGTAAGGAGAAGTGGAATAGGGGTCGGATTGATATTAGGAATTGACAACTGAAGTCATCTTGCATATTTGTTCCTGAATAGCCTATGAAGCACCCAACATGCAGAATCAATATGCATGTATATGTTTACTTTACAATGAGAATGTACCAGCAGATCAGATCTTAGTTCTTGCTACCGCTAAACAAAGATCTGAGGACATCCCATTACGGGTCACGTCAGACCGACCTTGCGCGAACTTTGACCGACCAATGGAATAACCAATCAGAAGGCAGCTCTCTCGTGCTTTACGGCACTTACTTCAAATTGGCGACTGCGCTTCGAAACATATTTTGACAAATTCTTGATTACAAATTTGAAACCTGAACAAAAGAACATTCTGGAATGGCTAATAGATGGTCTAGATTGTATGGATTCAGTCGTTAAACCCGTAACTATCGTTCGGAATACCCCGTGTTTAAGTTTTCGAGGTTGCATGATTAGAAATCACATTTCGACTGTCACTTTCATAATCTGGTAAGGGAAGCTCTGATTAGTCGGATGAAAGGTCGTTCTGACGTGACCCCTAATGGGATGTCTTCAGATCTTTGTTTAGCTGTAGCGAGAACTAAGGTCTGATTTTAATGAGATTGGTACCAGCAGTTGACAAGATTATATAATAACCTTCCTTCATTTGATGGGCTAATTGAGCAAAGGCCTCCTGCGGCATGTTATAAATAGAATAATTAGCCTCTCTGATCAAAAGATCAACATCTGCTAGTGGTGCCAAAGACACTAGGGCTGGGACGGGTAACTCGGGTACCCGGGTCGGGTGGGTACTGAGTAGGACCCGTGGTAAGTCACGTGATATATTGTTTTATGACAAAAATTATCTGGAACACTATGGTTACACTACAAGTCACTAATGTTCGCAATTCTTTCTGACTATGCACCCATTCCTTCTGATTTTTCATATGGTTGAATGAAGATATAACTTAATTCAACTTCAGTGTATGAATGACCAGATTGTTTAATACATGAATCTAAATATGTTTTACCAGGGCTATGCTAAAAATGTTCCCAATCGGACATATTGAGACATCTCCTGAGACCTACAGTGGGTACCCGGGTAGGGTCGGGTAATAGGGGGATGGGTACCCGGGTAGTAAATTTGGACTCGTCCCAGCCCTAAAAGACACATACCAAAACAGATAGCGATAGGTCATTTCAACATGCTGGGGGGCGGTCGGGTAGCCTAGTGGTTAAAGCGTTCGCTCGTCACGCCGAAGACCCGGGTTCGATTCCCGACATGGGTACAATGTGTGAAGCCCATTTCTGGTGTCCCCCGCCGTGATATTGCTGGAATATTGCTAAAAGCGGCGTAAAACCATACTCACTCACTCACTCAACATGCTGGCCCATTGCTATGGAACTATCTGCTACAAGAAATTCGAGAATCAGAGAATCTGAGATACTTTAAAAAGACACTCTAGATCTGTTTCTTCAAGAGAGACTTTGTCAAGATCAGTCATGGTCTAAGTGCATTTGTACAGTTGTTAATTGGAAAATGCGCTATACAAATTTTTAATCTGATTTAATTTGAATCAGCTGTAACAACCGATGTAAGGGAGTGGGGATCCATTCTGTTATTCTTTGTTGATTTCATTATGGAGGCTACATAATGATTGAATATAATCATGACTGAGATATGCTTCATGTTTACTGATGAGGTGACATTTTATGTGTGGGTTGGTGGATGTATTCCTTCCGAAGTTATCTCCCCTTGTTGGTTGAACACTAGTTGGTGTTTCAGTGGAGATCACTGACACACTAATGGTCTTCAGCCAGCCAGAGATCATTGCTGCAGATCAATGTGACACTCCTGGAGTAGGATCTAAACTCATTCAGGCCCCCACCCCCCTTTTTTGAAACCAGGGGTGGCTGGGTAGCCTAGTGGTTAAAGCATTTGCCGAAGACCCGGGTTTTAATTCCCCACATGGGTACAATATCTGAAGCCCATTTCTGGTGTCCCCGTTGTGAAATTGTTGGAATATTGATAAAAACGACATAAAACCAAACTCACTCACTCACTCACTCACTCACTCACTCACTATGTTGTAGACAATTACCCCCCCTTTAGACAAGCTGTATCCACCCTCGCTGCCCTCACACAAAACATACATGTATTGAGATGTTTTTAAATATATCCTTTCAGTTATTTGTCCGAGCGTTTGCAAAGGATGGAAGCAGCAAGAGTATACTAGTGGATGAGAAGATGGCTGTTGGTCAAGTGGCCAGCGTCTTGGCAGACAAGAACCACATGAAGCTGAACACAAACCTCACTGTAATCGAACACATGCCGGACCTGCTTATGGGTAAATACTGAACACAAACCTCACTGTAATCGAACACATGCCGGACCTGCTTATGGGTAAATACTGAACACAAACTGCCATTGAATTATGGATAAAATTATAAAGAATGAAATTAATTCAGTTTTATTCTTTCATTGTTTTAAGAAAAATTACAATATAAATAATGAATTAAATCAGATTATTTCTTCCATTTTTAAGAAAATAAAATATGTTTGAAATATATTTACATTTAATCAGAAACACCAAACTCGGGCTGCCACGGGGGATATATTTTAAGTTTTATACTTTAAGGGATGTACTTTTATTGAAATACTTTTAGTGATAGTGTACTGTAAGTGACATACTTTAAATGATATTAATGAAGGCATATACTTTAAGTAATATGCTGCAAGTGATATATATGTACTTTAAGGCATGTACCGTATTCAACGTTATAAGCACCCAGGGTGCTCTCATAATTAAAAATAGGGGGCCCTTATTAGAATATCATTTTATTGAAAAAAAAAAAAAAGTTGAAAGATTGTTAATTTCGTGGTTTATGCTGACAGCCTGAAATGATACAAAAGAAAAGTCTGTGCGTATTATACATGACACATATATTTTCCAGAATGAATTAAATTGCCCATAATTAAGGGGGCATATGACACACAAGTGCGTATCATACACGAATAAATAAGTCTTGTGTACATTGATAAATCGGAAGGGGTGCTAATTGGGATTGTTCACTAGCCATTATATTAGCAAATATCGCCGTGGGCGCTTATAAGAGCGGGGCACTTATTACGTCGAATACAGTACAGGTTATAGACTTTAAGGTCTAATTATAGGCATATGCATTGTGTGACTTACTTATAAGAGATAGATATACTTTAGGATTGAAAGATAGACATTACGAGTACTGAAGCAAAGTTTTCTGTGAGAAACAGGGCCATGCTTACTGGTCACTTCAAAACAAAAAAAGAATTTTGTGTGTTTTTTCCCCCCAATCTTCAAAATCTTTGTTCATTTTACAAGTGAAACCCCTAAATGCCTCATCTGGGAATGTGATTCAGAACTATTCTGCTCGTCCAAATGACACTTTAAACAAAACTCCTCAAACATTGGTTGTGACAAATCGGACAGCGTGTAGCTGGCTAATTACCTCCCTTGTTGGATAGTCAAGGCAGCTAATTGTCACGCTTGGAGCAATCTGTCTCTCTGGAAATTGAAATGTGACTCACAAACTTCAATCACTCCCGTAAGTGACATGCCAGCCACGTGGCAATTCAAGATTTCCCCTGTTTAAAGCAATGTTCAGAGCTGCGGAATTCATTGAAATGCTTGAATTCATTGAACAACAAACTTGTATCAGGAAGAAACGGCATCTCTTTCTTTATTTTAATATTATTACTCTGCTTGTTTGTTGGATGAATTGATAAAGGACAATAAACAGTATTACTAGTTATTCTTTAGGACACTTTAGGATTTTAGATCTGTAGGGTCAACTTTATGTCATGAATGTTTTCTGGATTGAATATACCAAGATGGGATGATAAAAGTTACAAATATCATGAGGCTTGCCACCAAGTAGTTTCTTTTCTAACCAGATGTTTTACATCCATATTAAATCAAGAATCACACCTTATGTCTAAAATAGGATTTTCTTTGCCAAACGTTAAGCCAAACATTAGTTTTTTCCGTCAATGTTTGATCTAAGATCACATCCAGAAAAAGAGCCCTCATTCATTATCAGTAAACTGCTGTATTCTAGACTTGCTAACTATTCTAGACTTGCATGGCTTGTATTGGATATATTTGTTTAAAAATGCTGAAATAGCTTTGTTTGTTTGTTTGTTGTTTAACGCCGCACTCAGCAATATTCCCGCTATATGACGGTGGTCTGTAAATAATCGAGCCTGGCCCAGACAATCCAATGATTGACATCATGAGCATCGACCCACGCAATTGGGATTGATGACATGTATCAACCAAGTCAGCGAGCCTGACCACCCGATCCCGTTAGTCGCCTTTTACGACAAGCATAGTTGCCTTTTACGGCAAGCATGGATTGCTGAAGTTCTATTCTACCCCCAATCTTCACGGGTCCTGAAATAGCTACATCAGTTACATTCTATATGACTGTACTCATAAAAGAAAGTAAGAATGCCCAATTCTTTCATATTAGTATTGTTAATCTGTTATGCCATGACAGATTAACTATAGTAATGTGAAAGAATCAGGTGTTCTTTAACTTCTTATGAGTAGTGGGGCGGTCGGGTAGCCTAGTGGTTAAAGCGTTAGCTCGTCACTCCAAAGACCCGGGTTCAATTCCCGACATGGGTACAATGTGTGAAGCCCGTTTTTGGTGTCCCCTGTCGTGATATTGCTGGAATATTGCTAAAAGCGGCATAAAACCATACTCACTCACTCACTTCTACCTGCGCCTAGACACATTCTTCAGGCGCTCATTAGACCATGTCAATAACGTCGCTGTTCTTCGTCCTCGTAAAACCATACTCACTCACTCACTCTTATGAGTAGTATATATTCTAGCAACCTCACATCCCCATTGATGGCACTGTGGCTGTTAAGAAACCTATACAGTTAGCCAATCTGACAAGCACCTGTCCCATCAACTCATCATTGTTCTCAGAGTGCGACAGAAATATCAGTGTGTCCGTAATCGGATCAGTGCCTTGTATGATCACTCAAATACAATAGTCCTGTTTCATCTCATGCAGTGCCTCCCTGTTGTTCTGTGAGGATGTCCAAAGGGGCAAGGATGACTGACAAAGAATATTGATCTTCAGAGGCAAAAAAGGAACTAGCCAGCAATTTAATTTCTGATCCCATTCGCAGATGTCGAAGTGACATTTTGGAGTTGACCTAGGTCAAAATCTCCCATTGAAATTTTGGGCAGAAAAATGTTATTGGCTTTTCATTCTGGTTCTAGTGCATGAGGGATTCTGTAATCAATATAGAGGTCAACACTGATCAGTGAAGTAAAAACTTGCATGCTTTGTTTGTTCCAGAAGAATAAAACTACAATACTTCAAATTCTTTTTATCTTTCTTTTATTAACTTTAAGAAGGACTTTAAAATGTGTTGATGGCTCTAATTTCTTCAAACACAGATCTTTTCTGATTGGAAGTCCTCTGAGCTTGGATGATGCTTTCCTAAAGATTACTTGTGTCTGTGTGAAGCTTCACTCGTAATGCTGAGATATTATTTGTCCATTTCAGAACGAATCCTGGAGGATCATGACTCGCTGGTGGAAAATATGGTTATGTGGACCCGAGACTCTAAAAACAAAGTTTTATTTGAAGAAAGATCGGAAAAATTTGATCTTTTTAAACACCCAGAAGTAAGTATCTTTGGTTGTTATGACAGTAGTTTAGCCGAAAACACTTTGAGCATTATGGGGAAACTAATTGTATATTTACATACACCTAGTTGATGGGAATGTCATTCATATGTTATATTTGTTTGAATTGTGGCACTTTAACGACTTAGCCACAATGCCTCTATCCTTCTTTAGTTTGTTTGTTTTTTGTGTGTTTGTCTGTCTAACACCACATTTTGCAATAATCCAGCTATATGATGGTGGTCTGTAAATAGTCACGTCTGGACCAGACCATCCAGTGATTGACATCATGAGCATCATGAATCCTTGCACTTGAGATACGATGAATTGCATCAACCAAGTCAGGAAGCGTGACCACAGGATCCCTTTAGTCGACTCTTACGACAAGCATGGGATGCTTGGGTCTTGTATTCGTCTCCGGAATCCCCAAGGGATGTCACGTGTGAATCATTGAATGTTTGAATCACGGAATCATTTCTCCATGTCAGTGTGTTCTTTTTAAAATTGTTTGAGACATTGATTTAAAAACAACAACAACATTTAATCATAGTCAGTCTAAGCACATATAATGTAAAATATTTAGCCTGATTTTGATCATTGGAATATTATTTTACAAATGAAATATCTGTCCATTAACAAAGTGAAATAAGGTTGTGATTGATGTAATGTTACCCATAGATCCAATGACGAATAAAAAATTTATGTTGAAACTCAATTGTGTTTTCCAGAAATATCTTTTGATTGGAACCTCCTCTGAGAGAGGTGTTTCCCTGGGCCCAAGTCAGCAAGAACGTTTGATACAGGTATGGTATAACTCTTGGTATCACATGATGGATGTAGTTATCAATGCAATAAACCAATCCAATAATCAAGATGGCATCATGATCTGATAGGTCGGCAATGTAGGTCAAAGGAATGCTTTTGAGACTGCCTTGCAGTGAAGGGGAGATAATCCTAATTTTGATGACATGTTCATGTAAAGTTCTGTCGCAGACTTGAAGAATTTGTTAATAATGAGGCAAGTTGAAGTAGCTCACATATTGCTGTTGTTAACTCATGCCCCTTCTGTTTCTTATCATTATCTTTGTCAAAATTATTATTATTATTATTATTATTATTGCAGGAGTTCTTCTCGTCATCGGGAGTGAAGGTGCCGGAAGTTGAAGGTGCACTTTATCTCAAATCTGACGGAAAGAAGGCATGGAAGAAGTACTTCTTTGTTTTACGAGCCTCGGGACTTTACTATAACCCCAAGGGCAAGGTCAGCAAGGTGAGATAATCATGGCGTAATCAGTGTATGACACTTCATGCATCTATGTCTCGTGCAATGACGAGTCAGTGATGAGATTCGGATTGGTGAAGAGCTTTGAATGGTATTTCAGTTCTATCACTTCTTCTTCTTCTCCTTCTTCAGAGAAGGAAGTTAACCAATCGTCTACTATACCAAACAGTGATATATAGCAATACCTCCAAAAATGTTTGAAATTGTACTAGAACCTCAGTTACCTGTAACATTAACAAGACTGGTCTGGGCTAGCAGGCTAGTGCTAATTGCCGTCCCTGATTATTATTATTGGATGATGATGATGATGATGATGATGAGGTGGCTAGCAGGGTAGTGCTAATTGCCATCCCCTATTATTATTATTATTATTATTATTGGATGATGATGATGATGATGAGGTGGCTAGCAGGGTAGTGCTAATTGCCATCCCCTATTATTATTATTATTATTGGATCATGATGATGTTGACAATGATGTTGATGATTATTTCAGTCCCCGAAGGACCTGGCGTGTTTGGTACAGTTTGACTTTGTGGAGCCCTACCATGGGCTGGGATGGAAGAAGAAGTATCACGCTCCCACAGACTACTGCTTCGCTCTCAAGGTACTTAGATAGTCCCAGTGACCAGTCACAAGGTCGTCAGTATCCCATGCTTGTCACAAGGTCATCAGTATCCCATGCTTGTCACAAGGTCGTCAGTATCCCATGCTTGTCACAAGAGCACACTGGGGAATGGTTGCTCATAATGGCTGCCCTATCATATTAGGACTTTGTGAGTGTACTAGGAGTGACTGAACCCATGGTGATACGGGATAGGTCTTCAGCAACCCATGCTTGCCGTAAGAGGCGACTGATGCGATCGGGTGGCCAGACTCACTGACTTGGTTGATGCATGTCATCATATCCCAATTGCGTGGATGGATGCTCATAACATCAGTCACTGGATTGTCTGGTCCAGACTTGATTATTTACTGACTGCCGTCATGTAGCTGGAATATTGCTGAGTGCGGCATTTAACACCAAACAAACAAACAAACAAAACTGATGCTTCAATCTGTGAGTAATTGAAGTCACCTAACATAGAGAGTCAAAGTCATATAAAATCACCCTTCTGGGAGAACTCTTATTTCATAATCTACGGTAGATGAAGCTGACTATTAGCTAGCTGCCCAGTTTCAGACAGGATATTGAGGAGACAATCTGGCGTAAAATTCTGGACTTGAAGCTTCCTTGTTGACAGTTAATGTGAACTGAAATATGACACGTGACTTCCATGTTGTGATTACTGTATATTTAGTCCTTAAACAGTTACAGGAAATTTATTTCCAAAATCAAAATAATAATTTTATAAACAATTCAAGCGACACCTTTTCTGTTTCTGGAATAAACTTGATCAGCTGATTCGTTAATGTTGTCAACCTTTTCAGCACCCACAAATCCAGAGAAAGAATTCCAAGTACATTCGTTACCTGTGTGCTGAGAGCAAGACAACCATGGACCAGTGGATTATGGGGGTCAGGCTAGCCAAGGTGAGAAACCAGGGAGATCATGGGGGTCAGGCTAGCCAAGGTGAGAAACCAGGGAGATCATGGGGGTCAGGCTAGCCAGGGTGAGAAACCAGGGAGATCATGGGGGTCAGGCTAGCCAAGGTGAGAAACCAGGGAGATCATGGGGGTCAGGCTAGCCAGGGTGAGAAACCAGGGAGATCATGGGGGTCAGGCTAGCCAGGGTGAGAAACCAGGGAGATCATGGGGGTCAGGCTAGCCAGGGTGAGAAACCAGGGAGATCATGGGGGTCAGGCTAGCCAAGGTGAGAAACCAGGGAGATCATGGGGGTCAGGCTAGCCAGGGTGAGAAACCAGGGAGATCATGGGGGTCAGGCTAGCCAAGGTGAGAAACCAGGGAGATCATGGGGGTCAGGCTAGCCAGGGTGAGAAACCAGGGAGATCATGGGGGTCAGGCTAGCCAGGGTGAGAAACCAGGGAGATCATGGGGGTCAGGCTAGCCAGGGTGAGAAACCAGGGAGATCATGGGGGTCAGGCTAGCCAAGGTGAGAAACCAGGGAGATCATGGGGGTCAGGCTAGCCAGGGTGAGAAACCAGGGAGATCATGGGGGTCAGGCTAGCCAGGGTGAGAAACCAGGGAGATCATGGGGGTCAGGCTAGCCAAGGTGAGAAACCAGGGAGATCATGGGGGTCAGGCTAGCCAGGGTGAGAAACCAGGGAGATCATGGGGGTCAGGCTAGCCAAGGTGAGAAACCAGGGAGATCATGGGGGTCAGGCTAGCCAAGGTGAGAAACCAGGGAGATCATGGGGGTCAGGCTAGCCAGGGTGAGAAACCAGGGAGATCATGGGGGTCAGGCTAGCCAAGGTGAGAAACCAGGGAGATCATGGGGGTCAGGCTAGCCAGGGTGAGAAACCAGGGAGATCATGGGGGTCAGGCTAGCCAGGGTGAGAAACCAGGGAGATCATGGGGGTCAGGCTAGCCAGGGTGAGAAACCAGGGAGATCATGGGGGTCAGGCTAGCCAAGGTGAGAAACCAGGGAGATCATGGGGGTCAGGCTAGCCAGGGTGAGAAACCAGGGAGATCATGGGGGTCAGGCTAGCCAGGGTGAGAAACCAGGGAGATCATGGGGGTCAGGCTAGCCAAGGTGAGAAACCAGGGAGATCATGGGGGTCAGGCTAGCCAGGGTGAGAAACCAGGGAGATCATGGGGGTCAGGCTAGCCAGGGTGAGAAACAAGGGAGATCATGGGGGTCAGGCTAGCCAAGGTGAGAAACCAGGGAGATCATGGGGGTCAGGCTAGCCAAGGTGAGAAACCAGGGAGATCATGGGGGTCAGGCTAGCCAAGGTGAGAAACCAGGGAGATCATGGGGGTCAGGCTAGCCAAGGTGAGAAACCAGGGAGATCATGGGGGTCAGGCTAGCCAGGGTGAGAAACCAGGGAGATCATGGGGGTCAGGTTAGCCAGGGTGAGAAACCAGGGAGATCATGGGGGTCAGGCTAGCCAGGGTGAGAAACCAGGGAGATCATGGGGGTCAGGCTAGCCAGGGTGAGAAACCAGGGAGATCATGGGGGTCAGGCTAGCCAGGGTGAGAAACCAGGGAGATCATGGGGGTCAGGCTAGCCAGGGTGAGAAACCAGGGAGATCATGGGGGTCAGGCTAGCCAGGGTGAGAAACCAGGGGGATCATGGGGGTCAGGCTAGCCAAGGTGAGAAACCAGGGGGATCATGGGGGTCAGGTTAGCTAAAGTGAGGAACTGGGGAGGTTAGGGGAGTCAGGTAAGCTAAAGTGAGGAACCAGGGATATTACTGGTGTCAGGTTAGCTAACGGAGGAACCAGGGATATTATTGGTGTCAGGTTAGCTAAGGGGAGGAACCAGGGATATTACTGGTGTCAGGTTAGCTAACGGAGGAACCAGGGATATTATTGGTGTCAGGTTAGCTAAGGGGAGGAACCAGGGATATTACTGGTGTCAGGTTAGCTAACGGAGGAACCAGGGATATTACTGGTGTCAGGTTAGCTAACGGAGGAACCAGGGATATTATTGGTGTCAGGTTAGCTAACGGAGGAACCAGGGATATTACTGGTGTCAGGTCAGCTGAGGGGAGAAACCAGAGAAAGCTGGGAGGAAGGGATGAATGGGTGATGGGGCAGGGAGGGTGTGGTGGTGGGCGGGGGAAGCAGTAGTAGTAGCTCGGACAAATACTGGGATTATGCTAATTAACTGAACAGACTTTGCATTGTGAGTATTATTTCAAAATTCTGACATCAGGAAATTTATAGCACCCTTGTGGCTCAATCAAACCTTTCAGTGTAGTTGTATTCACATCTGATTAGTTTCCCCATCTTTTGTTAGGAATCAAAGCACATTTTGTTTAAACTGATTTTGAAAATCTAAGTTGTTTCCTTGGGAAAAAATGCCAAAGTCGAGCGACATGAATACAGCTTGGGGGTTGAATTTTTTCGGGAGCATGTCATTTGTAGCTCACCTTCCCAGACAGGGGCATTTCAGCTAATTGGATGGTGAGTTGACTTCAGCATTCATCGAATATCAGATTTCTATAGTGAGATGACTAATACTATTTCTAAATTTGATGAAAATATGCCCGATGGTGGCATTTAAAAAAAAATACCTGTCTGATTTACTGTTGGAATGTTTTAGATATATATTTTAATTTTATCAATTATATGACCTGACAACTGATTGGCTGAGTTTCAGCTTCAATACATGTAAATATTAACCAGATTTGATTAAAATTTTAAAAAAGAAAGAAAAATAATAGTAATTATAGTTTTACTATATCAGTCTGGGACCCATTCCACAAAGCGATCTTAGCACTACGACTATTGTAAGCCTTTGTTAAAGTATGGGAGTTACGATCATCTTACCGCTACGACTATTGTAAGCCTATGTTAAAGTATGGGAGTTACGATCATCTTAGCACTCCGACTATTGTAAGCCTATGTTAAAGTATGGTAGTTAAGATCATCTTAGCACTACAATCGCTTTGTGGAACCGGCTCCAGGAGGCAATTGCATAAATGGTTGAATATGAATATGTATTAAAAACATCAACAATAGTGAGCCAGTTAAAAGTTGCAGATTTTGGACAAAAAAAATAAATTTTATTTTTTATTTTTCATGGTTCATACTATTGGAAGCATTATGGTAATAAACAAATAGACAATGTATTAACTCTGAAACTGATTTGAACTATGAAAGTAGTTACCAGGAAGCAGTATTCATTTTGCTTGTATTAATTCATCAGGAAGTTTCCATATTGTAAATGAGTCAGAAGTGATGATGATAGCGATTAACATGTCAGCAATGACAGACACAGCTAAGAGTTGTTTTTTCTTCTCAGTTGGGGAAACAACTACTGCACAACTACGAGCGTGCTCAGCACGAGATCTCCATGTGGGACCTGCGTGACGTCAGTCTGTCCAGCAGCCAGAGAACATCGACGAATATCCCAGACCAGCTGTGTCTCAACAATGTGGGCAATCTTCAAGACAGTCGTATGTCTGTGCCCGAGCCAAGCTCCCGCCACAGCATCGTCACAGTGAAAAACACATCTCTAGTCCGGAACAGCGGCCCTGACTGTGATAACCCGAATGAAGTGATTGGGATCGACGTGATCCCTATGCCACAGAGGAAGGGTTCAGTGGGTGGTTTAAGCGGAGGGGATCCTTCTCCCCAGCCCAAGACACCTGTGAAGAGGGTGTCGTTCAGTAATACACATTGTATCATAAACGCAGATTCGTGTGAAGAAATGGTTCACTTAAGGCACCGAGATTCAATAACAAGTGCTTCAACAGATTCCAGTGAGGATTCTGCATCCAGTGGAGAGGGTAAGCATAGCCAAGGAGGAACGCGGGGGAAGCTACGGCCAAAGCTGCCAGTGACAACGGAGACGACGCGGCAGTTGTCGGAAATGTTTCAGATTTCCATGGATACATGCAGTGTTCAGTCAGGTGATAGTGCATTCTCTGATGACAGAAAGTCCTACTTGGAGAAGAGGAGATCCTCATCTTCTTCAACGTCCAGTGATAAACTGAGGCTGCATTCAGAAAGTGATCGTAGCAGCAAAACGGAATCAATAAAGGAGCAACGGATGTCGAGCACGCGCAGTTCAGGACCAATGTCTCCTCTGTCTCCTCCGCTCCAGAGGCAGACTCCAGAGCCTACCTACCAACAGCTAACCTATCAACAGCCAACCTACCAACAGCCAACCTACCAACAGCCAAAGGCAGCGGTGATGCAACAAGCACCTGTGCCTCCTCCACAGGAGAAGGCAATGCCTCCACCACCACCACCACCATCGGCAGCAGTACATTCTCCTCATCCAGTGCCCAGCAACACAATGCCACAGCCGAACCCAGTCAAGTCTCCTCCTCCCCCTCCTCCTCAGATGCAGAGGGGTCAAGGGTCTGTTCCACCTCCGCCACCCGGCCACCAGAAGGGTCATGGATCTATGCCACCTCCCCCTCCACCAATGCAGAACCAAGGGTCAGTACCTCAACCACCCATTATGCCGCCGGCACCAACAATACCTGCTCCAGCTTCACCAGTGCCAACCGGAATAAAACGACCAGGATCAACCCCACCCCAGAATGGCAGGGTGCCTCCACCGCCACCACCCCAAGGACGGGGTCCTCCTCCCCCACCTCCAGTCAAAACCAACCAGGTCATACACCCGCAAAAACAAAATCCAATGTCACCCACCCAAGCACAAAGGCCTCCCAATACAGCCATGTCACCTGGCCAGGTACCACGACCTCCAAACTCGGCGATGTCGCCTGGACAGGTACCACGACCTCCAAACTCCGTGATGTCGCCTGGACAGGTACCACGACCTCCAAATTCAGCCATGTCGCCTGGGCAGGTACCACGACCTCCAAATACGGCCATGTCGCCTGGACAGGTACCACGACCTCCAAATTCAGCCATGTCTCCACCTCCACCACCTATGACTGGGATGCAGAAGTTTACAGGACCATTTAGTCCCCAGCTATCTCGTGTTGAGCGCCAGATGAATGGGTCGGCTGGACCCCCAACTCGGTCACCTATGTCACCGGGTACCCCCCCTGGAGGCCCTCCAACAACAGCACCAAAGCCAAAACCACCTCCATTGTCGCCGGTCGGAAACCAAAACCTTGGAACAAAGTCACCCCGGAATTCGCCCACAGTTTTGTCCCCTCCTCCACCCAATGGGATGATGCCTAAGGCAGATTCCCCAAGTGCTATGGACAAGGGAGCTGGCATCCCTATGCCACCACCTATGCCACTTCTACAAACTCTACCAACACATATAATTTCTCAGAGAATCTCGCACATCAAGCACCCTTCTACAGGTACCCCTTTGAGTCAATCTGTGAAGCAAGGAGCAAAACAACAACAGACAGTATTGCAAAAGAACCGTGTCACAACAAATGGTGGTATGCACGAAGATCACGACAGTGAATCATATGTGTCAGAATTATCCAAGAGGTCACACAATCATCCGCCTCAGTTCGGACACAACATGGCACACGGCAACCACACTGCTGAATGTGTTTCTATGCCCAATCAAAGCATCGCGGGGGCTAACCATAGACGATCAGCATCAGCGGGGGGCAATGTTATGAAACCCCTCGGACCCCCGGTGGCCCAGAAACCAGACAGTAAAAAAGCAAATCCTCCTCCGCCACCAAAACGCAGCGAGCACACAAGGTTATCATCAGACCAAGCCAGGCAGCTGAGACTGCAGCAACAGAAGCAGCAGCAGCAGCAGCAGCAGCAACAACAACAACAACAACAACAATCTGGGGGAGAAAGCCCAGCAGTGGCTGATCCTATCTACGAAAACTGTGAAGGTATTATGGACATTAATGAGCTTCCTCCACCACCACCTGAGTTTCTGGAAGGACTCTCGCCCCAGCAGCAGGAGCAGCAGAAAGCGCTACAAGCTTGCAAGAAACCTCGTCCTCCTCCCCCGCCTCCGAAACGAAACAAGGATACTCACCTGAGCCACTGAGTGTTACATTAACCTGCGTCACAGAGGATCCGTTGGCTCAAATTTGCAATAAGCTGAACTGATTGTGAGCAGCCATCTGTGTTCAGTCCTGGAAGGTTCTGATGTGCCAGAGTGATGACGTCATGGCATTGGCTATGATCTGTAAGTCATTCACGTTAGAGCCTGGAGGTGTTAATCCAGGGGAACTGTTGTTGAGAGTTACTGCTACTTTACAGAGGTCCGTTATAGTTGACAATGTATTGTTCATTACGTGTCTTGCCACTGAGGTTGTTAGCATTATACGCAAGGGTTGGGTGTCGGCAACTTGATGGCATCACTGTAGATTCTTCGTCTTTGTCCACATTTTGCAACCACCCTATTGATTGTACAATTTAGCCTCTTTGACCAATTCATGTGCCATATATATATCTGCAAGCATATTACATCATCGGTCAATTAACTTCAAACCTCTCATTTAACATTGTGAACGGATCTCAAACTTACATCATTCAAAATTAATGAAGCGTACCACTTGGACAAGATTCTGGTGAGATTTTTCAAATATTTTAATTTATTAGTTTGGAACCCATTTTGCCAAGAAGTCATGATTTTGCTAGTTTGTTGTAAGGTTGCTATTTGGTTGTTGTTTTAGATAGTGAAATTAACAAACTACAAGTCAAAACCAGCTTGTAGTATTTATTTTGTGTTTTCGACAAAAACATAATTAGTGTTGATATACACCAATGAAGGAGCGCTGTTGGAAAATCTGGTTACCATGGTTACTGCTTCCAAATGCTGCAGCTGATGTATGCTGATAGTTTAAGGCATGTTTAAGGACAGGACTTGTGTAAAATACTTCAGGAGGCCTTATGACTTGGTTTTTGATACTTCGTGAAATTTACATTTTATGTTTATACACATAGATTAGAAATACCTTACCTGATTGTCATTCAAACTTGTCCAGATCCAAGATAATGAATGAATGTTCATACCAGCATCGGTTATAGAATTTCATTCTTATGAGTCATAATGAATACTTACACCAACAGAAGGGTTGACAATATTCTTACCAGCATATATAAGAAATAACGAATATTTATCCCAACATGTCATAATGAATATTCATTCAAGTGCGGTCATAATTATTCATACTAGCAGAGGTCATACAGATTATTTATACCAGCATGGGTCATAATGAATATTCATACCAGTAGAGGTCATAATGAATACTAGTATTCATACAAGCAGAGGTCATAATGAATATTCATACCTGAAGAGGTCATAATGAATACTAGTATTCATACCAGCAGAGGTCATAATGAATATTCATACCAGCAGAGGTCAACTGGTCAAGTTCCTATTTTCCAACAGTATCTCCATCATTTTTCATGGTCATGTCATTTGCATAATATATCATCCTTCACTTCTCAGATGTGCCAATATTTTATTTTAGTTAAACTGTCAATATTTATGTGAGTCAGTCTTTAGTGACATCTCTACCCTTTTGTTATATTGTTATGTTATACTTGTATGTGCTTCTGTTGACTCTATGGTGCTCTTAACATGGCTAGCTGCTTGAACAGGAAGCCTACCATCCTTTCTAATTCTCACATGGCAGAGACCTGTCATAGCTTTCACTTTCTTTCAATCTTTGTCTTTTTCTATTCGCAGTTCTTCTAATGTGCGATCGTTGAAACATTAGAGATAGCCAGGTTTGTTTTGTTTGTGACAGATGGTAATTAATATAAGGACACTTGTTGGTGGGAGCGCTGTTTGGAACACGATGATGCGTTTGTACATACTTCATGTGGCGTTTCCTGTAGGATACTCTGTGTTAGCTGGGAGTGTACAATTTCTATTTTCTGCTTCAAGGGGACATCTCAAAATCTTTTATGTATTTTTTAAAATAATAATTTTGAAACAAATACATTCTTCAGACATTGTGTCAGGGGAACAGTTTCTGGTTTGAAACAATTATCCTACTATTGTGGTTTGGTATTTGAAAAGACATAAGATATTTTGATATGGTCCCTCAGCTTACTTTGTGCAATAGACAATAGACTTTGGTTGCCAGTGGTAACCAGGATTTGATGTTAGTCTTATTGTAAAAACATTCATTAATTGACGATGTCTGTGTTGAGCTAACTTTCCAGCAATTCTGTGTATATCTGGATCTCACTATAAGATTTCATGATGTTTGTCAAACAAATATCAAGTTTCATATTCATGCTGAAAGGGGAGATAATATATTTATAACACGATCACATGTAGTGTAATTAAATGGCATTGTGTCTACATATAGACAGTGTTTTATGAAGCATGTCGCCAGGTGTGTTTCATCTTGGGAAGGATATTCCTGAAAACTGCTGATATTTGAAAAATGAATCACTCTTTATTGTATTACTGAGTCAAATAGGATTTCTTTTGAAATTAATACAACAATTAAAGGTTTAAAATTTGCAAAATATATTAAGGATTTGTGCTATAAAAGTGTGTTGAATACTAGCCCTCAAACCTGATGTTATTTATACACAGGTATAGGTGTGTTTTTATATCCAATGTGTCACACTTACATTTTGGGAGATAGAGATATTCGAAATAATAAGTCAGTTTAACAGACAGTAGTGTTATACAGAAATAGATATTGAGTTTCAAGACATATTCCTTCCAGATGGGTTGTAGGTAAACATGGCTACATCAGACTGTATAGTTGTACTCTGGTGCCCTACAGGTAATTTGTATGTGGATTTTTGTGAGAAAACACGGAAAGTTATCAGAATGTGTGTTTTTGTACGATGACCTGCCATCGTCTGCTTTTCTACCGACTTATGCAACTGTCTCCATATCGTGAAATGAACGCTCGTTGTGACAGTGCCTGTGTGCTTGTGTTGTGCTTGAACAATAACGCTTGCTGATATGGAGGATTGGATTGTCAACATATTCATGTGGGACTCTGTCTGCTAGTCAAGGATGTGTATATAGTACCCGACTATTTCGTGTTGTGGGCGATGTCTAGTCAAAGCCTCCATCGCCAAGGACGACAGGACGGGAAGTTGCCAGAACATGCCCTGGTTTTCAGGGAAGTGATTGTAAGAGCTGGAGGATTGTCACAGGAAATGATCATCTGAGAACAATTATCATTTGAGAACAATGATCTGAAAACAAGGGAAAATGAGAACCGTGATCTGAGAACTGTGGTCTGAGAACAATCGTTTATGAGAACTGTGGTCTGAGAACAATCGTTTATGAGAACTGTGGTCTGAGAACAATTGTTTATGAGAACAGTGGTCTGAGAACAATCGTTTATGAGAACAATGGTCTGAGAACAATCGTTTATGAGAACAATGGTCTGAGAACAATTGTTTATGTGAACAATGATGATCTGAGAACAGTGACTTTTGAGATGACGTGAGAACAAGGATTGTCTCATTTTCTGACAATGATCACTTGACAACAATGAGACAACAATGATTGCGAGGACATTGACTTCTGACAACGTTAATCTGAGAATAATGTATGAAAACCATTTGGAGAAAGTTACTATGCCAGTCTGCCACACTGTAAGTGAATGATTGAACACTATCAGGGATCTAGCTGTATGTTATACCATTTATTGCTACAGGTATCACATTGCAAAAGTCTAATAATAACTGTTATGAGAATTACCTAATTTAGATGTTGTGCAATGGCATATAGCTCATGTATTTTTGGCTTATTCAGAAAGGAATATTAACACAGTTAGAAATGACTTTTGTGAGCATTTCTGTTGTAGAAAATATAACAATTTAGAGTTAAGCATGTATTTTCTGCATCAAATCAGACATTAGAAAGTTGGCCATATTGTATATGATTTATCTCAAATCATTTTGTAATTTTGATTGATGTTTAAAAATTTCTACAGGAAATATATGATAACATTTAGCCCAAAAGCTCTTTTATGAAAACCAGATGACCAAATTTGTTAAAGAATGGTGTATTTATCAAATCCAAACTCAAAATCAATTTTGAGATCAGTGTAAATTTAATTATCAGTTTTATGAATGATTCTTGGTAAATTTCTGTGAATTGTTTTGCTAAATCGGTGTGTGCAATATAACCCTGAGTAAATGTTGTCTGCTTTTTACTGACGGTGCCAGTGTTCTGACCTTCACCTCTCATGTTCTTCTGTTGTTGATGCTTCTTTTGGAGAATGCCATGCAGTCTCGCACATCATACCATGAAAGTCAGGTGCAAAACAATACAATACATACGATGCACTGTTACGCAGGACGATGGAAATACTTCTAAACAATTAAAATTTAATTAAGATTTAATTAAAATTAAAGAGGTGTGCTTCAACATCATTTGTTTTCTTTGTTCACAGTATGACATAGTTCCTTTACGAATTAGTTATGACAATCCAAAAATATTTGTTTGGTTTTAATTGGGTTTAAGGCCCAATAAAATAATTTAAGATTAAATTAAAAATTAATTTTGGTTTGTTTATGTCTATATTTAACTAACTGTTGAGACATCTGTTGATGTTTATGAATTTCACATGATACACGTGTGGTAGATCGAGCTATGTATATGGTGTATCCTAAGTGAAGAAAGGGGCGGTAGGGTAGCCTCGTGGTTAAAGCATTTGCTCATCACACCGAAGGCCTGGGTTCGATTCTCCACAAGGGTACAATGTGTGAAGCCCATTACTGGTGTCCCCTGCCATGATATTGCTGGAATATTGCTGAAAGTGGCATAAAACAAGACTCACTCACAAAGTAAAGAAAGGAGGCAACACAGTAGTTATCTTCATCTTCATCTGTAGTTTGGGGCGGTCGGGTAGCCTAGTGGTTAAAGCGTTGGCTCGTCACGCCGAAGACCCGGGTTCGATTCCCGCCATGGGTACAATGTGTGAAGCCCATTTGTGGTGTCCCCCGCCGTGATATTGCTGGAATATTGCTAAAAGCGGCATAAAACCAAACTCACTCACTCACTCATTCATCTGTAGTTTCATGTGGGATGTTTGGTAGGGAGACGAGCATAGATCTTGATCTAATAATTCATTTATAATGGGCTTATGTTAATTGTCTAAGATACCTTCAGAATAATTAATTGTAAAGATTCTGTTTTTATTTTTACAAAAAGCGCCCTGACCATCTTCTTGACCAAGCTGTAAGTAATATTTACCAGCTGTCCCCATAAGACCCAGAATTTGAGTGAAAGTGTGTCTATTCATTGGTGGATATAAGAAATGTTTTTACAGAAAATATTAGCACAGAAGTGGGATATAATTATAACTGCATTGTTACTATTATTGAAAAAACCAAGCTTCATCACTTTTCATCGAACGCTGAAAATAAATTAACTTGTTGCTTATGGTTGTAATCAGTACCCTTTGTCAGTTTTCTAAGTGCTCAGAGTGTTTATTACAGCAAATACGGTATCTGTTTAAGTACTCACTCTGTTGCCAGGTAGTCCTTGCATAACAGTGAGTGAGTGAGTGAGTATAGTTTTACGCCGCTTTTAGCAATATCCCAGCAATATCATGGCGAGGGACACCAGAAATGGGCTTCACACATTGTACCCATGTCGGGAATCGAACCCGGGTCTTTGGCGTGACGAGCGAACGCTTTAACCACTAGGCTACCCGACCGCTCCCTTGCATAACAGTGCATCACACTCATTGCATGCAAACAGTTGCCATTTTTAATCTGTACTCAAAAATACTTACCTGTAACGATAGAAATCATGTCTGGCGTTTAGAAGTTGGAAGAGCATGAAGGCATTTTAAGAATGTGACGTCTTGCGACTACTTCTTGCCTTGGAATCATTTAAACAATGAGGGGCAAGTAGCCCTAAAACCTTGTTACAACGCTAAAAATATTCTTTAAAAAGTTTCATGGTTGAGTGAAAATCATTACCTGATGAGGGTATCGGTTGTACTGTTTTTGTTTTAGAAGAAACATTACATAAATCTGTTGTGAATATGAATATATTATATTAATAATATTTGAGCATGGTAAAAGATGGAAACCACGAAGGATGATGAGTTTTGATTGTCCATGCACACTAGCAGTACTGTTAGGATGTTGAGTGAGGTTTTTGAGTACAATTACATACATCACAACTTTCTCTAGAATATGCTGTTACTCTTGACTGTGGACAAGGCATCACCTGTACATAGTCGTCTATATTCTGATGGCCTGTCTGGAGGACACACAGACGTACGTACGACGACACGCAGACTGTGGTGGTGCGTGGTGCTGACAACACGCTGCGAGTGGCCACCCATAGCTCGGTGTCCTAGTGTGTAGACTGTGATGTACTCACACCACATGATAATGTACATTTTTGAATAAAATATAATGCAACCCTATGAAAATTTCTGTTTTCTTTTTCCTTAGAATGTGTTTTTTACAGTTCTTTAGTTGTCACGGAAATGAGTGAGTGAGTGAGTGAGTATGGTTTGACGCCGCTTTTAGCAATATTCCAGCAATATCAAAGCGGGGGACACCACAAATGGGCTTCACACATTGTACCCATGTCGGGAATCGAACCTGGGTCTTCGGCGTGACGAGCGAACGCTTTAACCACTAGGCTACCCGACCGCCCCTCACGGAAATGACGTGTGACAGTGACAAAAAAATACAAAACACAAGATGGGATGGGATGATCCACGAAGAGAAATGCATTATCATGGGCAAATAAGTGAATGTTGTGTGACGCCACAGCCAAAAAATGTTTCAGCCGCATCATGGCAGCAGATTACCCAGTGGTCGATGTTATGAACATCGTCCCATGCTGGTAGGGTTCAAACATAAACAATCAAGTACCCGAGCCTGTTGACCTGATCCAATTTAGTCGCCTCATACACACAACAATAGAGTGCTAGGGACCTTTTGTTCCTTTGTTTGTTGTTTAACGCCGCACTCAGCAATATTCCAGCGGCATGACGTCGGTCTGTAAGTAATAGAGTCTGGACCAGACAATCCAGTGATTGAGATCATGAGCATCGATCCACGCTATTGGGATACGATGACATGCATCAACCAAGTCACCCAATCCTGTTAGTCGCCTCTTACGACACACACACACACACACACACTGGATCCACCCTCTGCATGGTGTTCTTTCAAAGTGATGATAGATCAACATCCTGGTGACAGATGAAGGAAGGACAGATTTTGTTTCCTTCCTTATATCTAATTAAAGATGGCATGAATCCCCGCTGTAGGATACAGGGACAAACCAGCTAGGAGGCCAGTGCAGGATGAGTGAGGGAGTTGGATTCAAGTCTGCGATTAGGGCAAGACTTTTGAGGAAACTGATTTATGAATTCCAATAACCCCTGAAAAAGTGAAAATAAATATACAAGAAAAATACTTTTATTTTCCTAGTCTGCTGATCAAACTCACAAAATAATTGTGCATACAATAGTTTAATATATTTCACCAATGGACCAGGACTTTTCTCACATAAATCCATAATCGAAACATGAAAACAATCTGGCCAAGCAGTGTTCCAGTCATGTCTTACATGTTAGTTTAATGGAAGTACAACGTGATGCCAGTAGTTCATATTTATCACTTTAGTGACTACAGTGTGGTAAATCTTGGAGTTGAACCCATGGCGCACAACTCATGCTGCATATGCTGTGCCACCCACTAATGAATGACCGGGAACCAATGAAACGGTGTTGATATGGACAACGGGCTTAAAGCAGAAGCATCAGGATTGTTAAGCATGGTTGCAGAAATTGCAGTCAATAAAGATAGTCATTCCCTCAAGATTCTGGACAAATGGGGTTTCAGTCTACACTATAGTGCAACCTCGTTTATCCAGATGATGGAAGAAATAATAATTATTAAACAATTTCTGAAATTCTTTTTCCAGCAAGCATGGGTTGCTGAAGACCTATTCTAACCGGATCTTCACGGGTAGTACGGATCTGGTAGTGGTAGTGATAAAGCTAGTGGTAGTTAGATTTGGGGCGAGCTTGGGCCATGAGGAGCCTATTTGCGCCAAACGTCACGTGGAGAAATGTACAATAAGACATTAAGAGTTACTTCCCCTGTCCGTTGTTTTCGCAAGCACGCGTTCCCGGGAACAGTGAAGGGTTGTTCAGATGACGACAATAGGAATGCACCGGAAACATTTTCATGATTAATATACTTTAATCCTTTCTAACACTGTGTGTCAATTGTAAATATATATGGAAGAAAGATGTACAGATTTTGTACTCCATGGAAATAGGGTATTTTATTCGTCTATATTCCGCATGTCAGTAGTTTCCGCAGTCCATTGGTTACCATCAGCTTACCGTAAAAGGCGACTATGCTTGTCGTAAGAGGCGACTAACGGGATCTGGTGGTCAGGTTCGCTGACTTAGTTGATACATGTCATCGTTTCCGTATTGCGTGGATCGATGCTCATGATGTCAATCACTGGAATGTCTGGTCCAGACTCATTTTTTTTACAGCTTACATATAGCTGGACCATTGCTGAGTGCGGCGTTAAACAACAAACAAACAAACGTTTGTTAATGAATTCACCCACCACACAAATACATTCATGTAACGAACGAGTTGAACTTCCATAAACATGAGACATTGTTTGACGATCTTCGCAAAATGCTTGCCCTGTTTTGCAGGATTCTTCTTCTGAGTGAGAGAGATGGGTTTAACGCCGCTTTAAACAGTATTTCAGTTATATGACGGCGTGTCAGGTTGATGTGGGAGGAAAGCCCGAAGTGATGCTGGTCTTTCTGAAACATGTGATGGTAGTACTCACGATTGTGTCCTTCTCAAAGCTATATTTAGTGTGATGTAGTGTAAAACGTGCTTTTAAATCTATAAAACTCATTTGGACTACAAGAAGCGACCGATACAGATATCTACAATCTGACATGTTGAACGAGTTGGAAGTATTTTCAAAGAGAAATCCTCTCGATACCTATCTAATCGAGATATAGTTACATTTATCAATGAAATATAAATATATGAGAGCCGTGCGAGATGAAAGTTCAAATTGTGACTTACTAACAGTGTCTGAAATTCGCTTTAAAAAATTTAAAAAAACTGTAGGCCCAGTGGAAAAAACTGTAGGCCCGAACATTTTAGCTGAAGCAGGGAGACATACTCTTGAATATAAATTACAAAACACAACCAGTCAACCAGAAGTTTTTACTGCCATCACACCGAGTTCCCAGAGACTCGGTGGTGATAGATGAAGCCAACATTTATCAGGAAATTATCAGCTTGTAAAACATCATTTGAAAGATCTAATCCTACTGTTTATAAAAAGGAAAGTTATGTTTATCACATTACTTAAAAAATGCTTAATAATTAATTACTGAAATAAACTGCATCCCGGGCACAAATTTGTCGGTCTCGGGCCTACGAGCCGATGTCTATTTCGAACACTGCTAACTAATGTTCAAGGGGCACGGGTGGCCCAGTCGTCTAAGGCGCCGCGATTCACTGTGCAGAGTTGCCTCCCTTGGGCACGCCAGAAACCTATGATTGTGGGTTCGAATCCCGGTTCGCCCCGATTATGTTTCTAGGTTTGTCAGCACCATACCCGTGCTCGTGGGTTTCACCGAAGTGGTAAACGTCTGAGACCTGTATCACTTCGGGCTTTCCTCCCACATTAAGCTGACACGCCGCGATATAACTGGAATACTGTTAAAAGCGGCGTTAAACCCAACTCACTCACTCACTCACTACTAATGTACAAGACCTATCGTCCACACCGTAACACATCGGACGTAGGGTCAGAAAAGAATGAACGTATAATCAGCTGGATGTGAGTGAGTGAGTGAGTGAGTGAGTTAAAATTGGAACCGTCGACGTACTGTCCCATTAGCGTCGCATCGGCGTTATTTCAGCGACGAGAACGAGATTTCATTGCTGCAAGCTTTGTTTGTTTGTTGTTTAACGCACGTGATATAAATACATCGAATACAAACAGGAACATCCATCCACGACAAAAACTTCTTCAAATGTATATTTATTGCTTGAGCGTTTTATCAAAGGGGGTAATGCATTAAACTAGCCCAAAGAACAATGTCATACATTTTTATACATGGTAAATTAATTCCTTTGGTGCAGTGAACCTACTTGTATTAATGATTGTAAAACATAATTTGATGTTTTGGGGGCAAATGGACCTTAGTTCTTGTCAAAGTCCCCCTTAAGCAACCATCACCACCACCACCACCACCACAACAACAACAACGATTGAGCCAATTTTACATCGGCCAAATCGCCCTATAAATCCACCAGCCAGCCAACGAAGACTGTAAGAGTTACTTCCCTTATACCATTTATTTAAAAGAAGCGTTCGATCATCCACTCTTAATACGACACAAACTTGGATCCTGTGAAACAAGGAAGTGGTATCTCCTGGAAAAGACATGTGCAGCAACCACGATGCAACCACAAGTCTGTCTTGTGAACACATACACCATAGCACGGCATTTAGAGAGAGGGAGAAACTGGAAAGAGGAAAGTTCAGATCGTGACGATCCATTTTTCAAATCGTAGCCACGGAGAAGTACATTCTCACGGAGAACAGACGAACTAAAACTGGTGTTAAAAAATGTCTCTTTGTCAGGAGGTGAATGTCCTCAGATTTTCTATAAAAATGTAATCTTATTATCATCAATTTGTCCGAAATGTTTATAAGTCTACGGAATCCCGTTAGGGTAATTTCTTTTATTTTATTATCTTGAAGATTCAAGAAACTAAGTTGAAAATGCAAGTTGCTATTTTGAAAATTCAAATTATGTATAAGAAAAGTCAGTTCTCGTCTTGAATTCTAAATTTGACAGGAATTTAACTTTATATTTAACTTGAAACCCGCTCGAGGCAGCCACCATCATTGCGTTACCAGTGCAATTTAACTGGTAATTTTGAATATTCGGAATATATTTAAATTTATTAAAGCAATTTCAAAAGCTAGTTTTAACTAACAAATTACGTCAAAATGACTGTTGAGAAAAATACAAAATTAAATCTTTTGTCTTCGATTCTTCCTTTTTTTTGAAAACTACCATATCAAAACAAAGAATCGTTCAGCGTATCACCATATTGTTTTTAGTCTGTTATATATTTGTGTCCAATACACACTGAGGCGTTCCCGCGTGGCTGGTGAGAGAAGATGGTAACCATAAAGCCCTGTATCTGGGGGAGATCCCCGCACTTTCCAAGTCCAGTCGAAAGGTGCAACGACTGAATATGGATCCACCCTTTTCCTTGCGTCGCTATTCAACACGCTTCGGAAGCCTGGAGATGAGTTCAACATGGCCGCCGCCATTTTGACTCATTCTGCACGTGCGGCTTTGAAAGTTTAAACCAAATGTCAACTGACAG